TGCTCTCCCTGCCCCAAGCCTCTCCCCAGTCCAGGGCCTCCTCCACTCAGCTGCCAAAGTGATCTTCCTAAATCCTAAGTCTGATGGCATCATTCCATGCCTACAATTCTCTCCCTCCTCCTCTCCCCCTGCTGGCCTCCCTGTCTTCCTTCAAGTCCTCACTAATACTTTCCCAGTCCCTTTTCATTCTAGTGCCTTCCCCTCATTGATTATTTCCTGTCTAACCTGTTTAGAATTTGTTTGTACAGAATTATTGATGTGTTGTTACCCTCATTAGACTGGGAGCTCTTTGAGGGCAAGGACTGTTTGGCACCTTTCTTTGTATCTCCAGACTTTAGCCCAGAACCTGGCCCATGGCATGCACTCAATGCATGTTTACTAAGTGACTATGAATCCAATGCAATCCATGAGGAAAAAGCTTTGGATACGGAAGGGATTTCAGAGAGAAACCAGCCTGGCCTCCTCATCTCCTCCAGAAAGAAACTAAGGCACAGAGGAGTTAAGTGATTTGCCCAAATACAGCCCTAACGGCAGTATTGACATAGCACTTCAAGCTTTGTAAAGCACTTTTTGTATGTTCACTCATTGCATGCCCACAGCCATGTGAAGACTGTACTATTACAATGCCCATTTTGCAGTTAAGTGACCTGCCCATGGTCACACACATAATAACTTCTTGTTCAGTCCCTTCGGTCATGTCTGACTCTTCATGACCCTGTTTAGGGTTTTGTTGGCAAAGATCGTGGAGTGGTTTGCAAATTCTTTCTCCAACTCATTTTGCAGATGAGGAAACTAAGGCAAACAGGATGAAGTGACTTGTCCAATGTCACGCAGCTAGTGTCTGAGGCTGGATTTGAACTCAGGTCTTTCTGACTCCATCCTGCACTCTATCTACAGCACCAGTCAGCTGCCCCATAGTAACTATCAGGGCTAAATTCAAACTCAAGACCCCTAACTCCAAGTTCAGAGCTCTGTCCAGCTCCATCAGCTAGCAGCCAGCTCCAGAGCTGGACATCTGGTCCAACCACCTCATTTTAGAGATACAGAAACTAAGACTCAAGAAGATAATTAACTGGCCTGATGTCATACAGATTATAAGCAAGGGAATGAGTATCTGAACTCACATCTGCAGCCATCCACCCCAACAATCTATCAACCAGTCACCAAGGACTTAAGGAAAAATAATACCCAAATCTAGTCCCACTCACAGATTCAGGTCTGAAGGGAGCTTAGAGGTCATATACTCTACCCTCTCACTTTACAGAGAGGGAAACTGAGGCCCATTGAAGTAACAGAGATGAGGTTCAAACCTAACTCCTTTGACTCCAAGGCTGGTGTTTATCCCACTGCACTATTCTGCCCCACCCCTGCCACCAATGTCTCCAGGAAGGCTGTTTCCAATGAGGTACACTGAGAAAAGCACCAGAAAGAAATGTGACATTAAGGCCACTCCCTTCATGGAGGAAGCTCTCTCTGTCCTTGTCCAGGACTCAGTGTCACCAATAATTTCCAGGAGCTAGCTTGTCATCAAATGAATGGATGGATGGATGAATAAATAAATGGATAGATGAATGGATGGATGGATGTGGATGAATAGATGAATGGATGGAAGGATGGATAGATGAATGAATGAATGAATGAATGAATGAATGAATGAATGGACAGTTAGATGAATGAAGGAATGGCTAGATAAATACATGAATGGATGAATGAATGGATGGATGGATAGATGAATGAAATAAAAGGCATTTGCAAAGTACTTACTATGTATCAGTGACTGTACTAAGGGCTGGATGCCATGCCAATTCAGTGAACTGACTTCCAAGGTTGCTTTTTCCCTCCCTCCCTTCTCCCCTCTACCCAACTTTCAGTTTGCTCCTAGTTAACGTTTTTTCATTTTGATTTGTCTCTTGTCTTCTCTCCTGACCTCATTCACATTCTACCCACTCTTAGCTTTTTCCTTCCAAACAGCCATGTGAATTTGCAGGCATCTGTTGGAGCTCATTCTGAACTGAGTGGCAAACTTCCTACTGATATATGGAAACCCCTCTTCCAAGGGACATTTCAGCCTCACAGATTAGAGCTGGAAGGGACCCTCAGGGATCCTCCAGCCCAACCCTCTCATTTTATAGATGAGGAAATAGACTCAGCAAGGTGAAGTGGGACTTGTTCCAGGTCATACAGGTTAGAACTGCTGGAGGTAGGTGTTGATCATTGGATCATAGATGGAAAAGATTTTAGAGGCCATCCAGTCTGACCCTCTCATTTTACAGATGAGGAACTGAGGACCTGAGACAATGACTGAGGGCAATGACTTGTCTAGGTTCACACAGCTACTAAGTATCTGTCTAAATTTAGATTCAAACCCAGGGCTTCCTAATTCTGATATCCTATGATAACATACTCCAACCAAATTAGCATACATGCTGTTCCCCATAGTCAACATTCAGTCTCCCACCTTCATGCTTTTACATAAGCCATCCCTCATGCCTAAAAGCTTTCTTTTCCCACTTCTGATCTATACAATCCCTAAAATCCTTCAAAGCATAGCTCAGATGCCACCTCTTGAAGGAGTCCAGTCCCATTCTCCCCAATTGTGAGTGACCTTTCCCCTCAAAAAAAAATCACTTTGTATTTATTCTACAAAAACACTTAGAGGTGTTTTAAGTCTCAATAACCTAAAAATGGCACCAAGACTTTGGAGATGCCCTTGACTTGGATTTGCTTGTCTGTAAACATATAGTTTCTCCCAAATAAAATGGAAGCACCTTGATGTCAGGGCTGTTTTTGTTTTGAGCCTTATGCCCGATGCCTAGGACAGTGTCTGACACACAAGTGGTACTCATTGTATGTCTGTGGACTTGAAGTGGATGCCGATGGCTTTGGACTGAATGGGACAGTAAGATAACAGCTGGGTGCAGCTTTTTCAGTACAGGGTGTCGAACTCTATGGAAGGAAGGCTTTATCTCCTTCCTCTGCCCGCACACTGGGCTGGGGATGGGAATGTGGATGGGGCTCTCACAGATATTCGTCATCCCTACTGAACTGGGGGAGGCAAGACTCATTTTGGAAATAATGATTCCAGGTGGGAGGCCAATGAATAATGTCGAATGTGGGTAGCAAGGGCTTCATTACACAATTTTGAAAATTTGGAGCAATTAAATCTCCTTCATTATCATGCATTTTCTTCAGATTTGGGTAAAAATAGTTGCAGGGAAAGCAATCCAAAAATGGTGAGACCAGAAAGAGAGAGAAGAGGAGAGGTAGGCACATGTTAGAATAAGCCCTTTGACAAAGTCTACTGGAAAGCCTTGCACGTTAAAACTCAATTGCCCAGTGGATCTGTGCTCCCACCAATGATACAGGCCTCAGCCCACCCTGGTCAGCAGATCCTGGGTGTCTTTCCTCTATGCCATGCTATAAGTTCACCCTGAGGTTCTACCCAAAGTGCTGGGAGCCTTCCCCAAATTCTCTATGACATCTGAAGCAAAAAGTGAACAATTTGCTCAACAAAACAATAATGAAGTGAGGATGAGAACCCACATCTTCTTACTCCCAATGCAGTGTTCTTTTCCTTAGACCCATGGGAATGTGCCCTGGACCCAGCTCTGCTTAATCTATGAAGTAGACAGCTAGGTGGCGCTGCAGTGGATGCAGTGCTGAGCCTTAAGTCAGGAAGATTCATCTTCATGAGTTCAAACCTGGCCTCAGACACTCACCAGCTGTGTGACCCTAGGCAAGTCACTTCAACCCTGTTTGCCTCAGTTTCTTCATCTATAAAATGAGCTGGAGAAAGAAATTGCAAACTACTCCAGTATCTTTGCCAAGAAAACTTCAAACGGAGTCACAAAAAATAGGACACAACTGAACAACAACTTGTTTTCTTCATTCATTCAGAAGGAACTATCAGGCCCAGTTCAATGAAAAGGCAGATTGACCTAGAAAGCATCACAGTATTTATTCCACTGGCTCCCTACTCCTATGAAGGGAGATGGGCTGTATGCCATCTGTAGATCTGGAGCTAGGAGAGGTCTCAGAGGCCCTCAAATCCAACCCCCTCCCTTTACAGATGAGGGAACTGAAGCCCAGAGAAGCTCAGTGACACGCCCAAGGTCACACAGTAGAAAAACAGAGCTAATTTACATCTAGATCCTCTGGTTCCAGAAACAGAATTTTTCCTACTATATTACACTGGTTCATTTTCCTTTAGCACAATTATACCAAGGTCCTTGCCTTCTCACAGGGAGTGGCAGTAGGGAAGGCCATCACAGGAGAAAGCAGAAGGGGAAATGACTCATGAATCACATAGATAAGGGAAGGCAGACATTAGAAAACATGAGCAGAGCTATAACTAAGGTGAAGTGACTGGGTCTTTGCCCAAGGGCATCAAAATGTAAAGGAGCTATGCTTACTTCTAGTTAAGTCTCGCCTGAGGCAAATCGTGTCTCCTCTCCACTCTGGTTTTCTGTCTATAGTCTAAACTTGGAGATCCTTCAAACTCACTTGTGACATCTTAAGGAACACAAAAGGTAACATTGTCCATAAAACATTCCAAGTCACTTGAGGGAAAAGCCTTTACAAGTAGAATTTGTCAATCAGACACATCTTGGCATTGTTACTGATTCTGCTGTTCCCTAAAGAATCATTACTAGGAATCCTTGAATGGGAAGCAAATTGAAAGGGCCTGTCCTGATCTTCCACAAGGGTTAGACCAAGGGGAGACAGACCAACCATGAGTACATTCATGAGCCTGTCTCCTTTCTCTACCCTAGCAACTTCCAACACAACAACCCTGCTTCCAAGCCCCTTTTAGGGCCCACCTCCCCCAAGGTCCCCACAGGTTCATAAGCCAAAGAAAGACCTCAAAACATGATATGCAAGGATGGCAGTATCTGTACTGGCACAAGGAGAATGTTGCCCCCTCTCCCTCATGACATGCAGGTATAGGATAAATGAGGACTACCCAGTAAGAGGGCAATTATAGCAGTGAGACTACTTACGAGAGAAGCGAGCGAGGGGTCTGGCAGCCTTATCTCCTGCCTCATTTGCAACTGGAAAAAAGAGAGAGAAAACACGCTTAAGATCATGGTACATGTTAGAAGAATGAGCCAACCTAAATCTAAGTAAATGGAGGACTAGGGCACTGCCCAATAATTATGTCCTTGAAATTGTTATGTTAGCCAAAATTTTAAAGGGACTTTGTTCAAAAACTATAGCAGCATTATCTGATTGCAAATAATAAATGAATGAATTAATGAATGAATGAATGAATGAATGAACAAATAAATAAATAAAAGAAACAACCTAAATGTCTAACAGCAGGGAAATGGATAAAAAATTATGCTACGTTCATGTAAAGGAATACTATCATGCCAATAAAACTGAGAGCTATAAGGAACACAAAGATATCTGGGAGAGTGTTTTTGAAAGTATAAGCAAGGAAGAAGGTGGATCCAAAAGAACGCAGTGCACCAGATCTCCAGTGATCCAGAAGGAAGGAGGAAGGAGGACAAGTGGACAAAAAATGCTTAAGCAGGAAGGAACCCCAATCCTGGGCTGGAAGGGCCCTCGGAGGTCACTGGGCCCTCTTGTTTGGCATACAAGGAAATCAAGCCCCAGAGAGGAAGTGACTTTCCCAAGGACCAACCATGTCACCACCTCCTGAGCTTCACTTCCTTCATCTTTAGAATGAGGGATGGCCTCTAAGTCCCTTCCAGTTCTAGATCTATGGTGTGGGTAATAAGTGATGGGGGCAGGATTTGAACCCAGATCCTATGGAGGGAGTAATAGAGAAGCTATGACATTTTATGTGTTAAATACATTTACGTGTAAAGAATTATAAAGCAAGTTTAGCTGGCTATATTGGTATTAAATGTTATGTTTATAATGAAACATCTAAAAATAAGACTAATTTTCAGAAGAAGCCCAAGGAAATTGGAACATTATCCACCACAATCTCCCCTCCAGCTGCCCCATTCCCAACCCCCACCCCATATTCTGCCCTGGAAGTCCTTCCGCCCTGGGGATCTCACTCTCCCTAGCCATGACTATCTCTCCCAGAAAACCAGGCTTCACTTCATTCCTTCTTTCCATCTGGCCACCCCCTGCCCTTCCCAGTTCTGCAGTCATGATCAGTTCCACTCCCAAGTCTCCATCCATCTCCCTAGGGCCCTACCCATCATGCCCACAGCTTTTCAGACCAAAGATGCCCTGGGTGGCCCCCACCTCACCCCCGGGTTTGTTGTTTCTCCCATTAGAATATAAGCTCCTTGAAGGCAGGGGCTGCCTTAACTGTCGAGTTTTGTCCCTGCTTTTAGTGCTTTTAGCGTTTAGTTAAGTTCTGCTGCTGTTCAGTGCTGTCCCACTCTTCATGCCCCGCTTGGGCTTTTCTTGCCAAAAACACTAGAGTGGTTTGCCATTTCCTTCCCAGCTCATTTTACAGGTGAGGAAACTGAGGCAAACAGAGTCAAGTGATTTGCCCACAGACCCACAGCTAGTAAGCATCTGAGGCCAGATTTGAAATCATGGAGATAGATTTTCCTGTTTTCATTGCTGGTGCACTATCCGCTGTGCCTCTTAGCTGCCCCATAGTAAGTGCTATATAAATGTATTTCGACACATAGATAGACACATATTTAAATAGATGCACATACACATACATATATATATATATACATACATGTATATGTAAATACATATAAAACTACTACCTCATATTTAATTTCCATTTGCTTATTTACATGTGTGCATGGACACATGTAAATGTATATTCATACGTATAGATGTGTATGCACATATAGATATGCACACATACACGTGTGTATGTGTGTACATATAAAACTATTACCTTGTAGTTCATTTCTCTATGTGTGTTTACATATGTATATATACACATAGATGCTTAACAAGATAAGGATGATCTTTCTTCCCTCTCTGTCCATATCTCCCTGCATATCATCTTGCAATCAAGGCCATATGCCTTTTATTGTCCCTGTTGGAATAAAATCACGGCACAGGAAAGGGACTGTGAACCCATGGAGTCCTACCCCTTCATTTTACAAATGGAGAAACTGAGTCCCATCTAGTTGGGGGAAGAGCCAGGATTCAAATCCAGGTCTCCTGTGCTCTCTTCACCACTTACCCCAGATTGAATTGCAACAGACAAACTGACCCTGACCGCTCAGAATGAGCAGTCACTCCCAAAACTGTTACCATGTATTTAGTTTGCATAACCTTATTTACAGGCATATTGTCTCCCTGATAGAATGGAAGCTCCTGGAGGACAGATGTTTCATTTCTTGCCTTTGTATCCCCAGGGCCTAGTACAGTGTCTGGCACATAGCAGGCACTCAATGAATGTTTCTTTACTGATTGATTGAACAGAGGACTAAAGTCATAGCAAATGTGAGGACCTTAGAAGATTTTGCCAAACGGTGCCATTTTCTCAATCAGGCAGCAGCTGGGACAGAAGGATAGAGCCTGGATTTATGACTGCATTGCCACAGGGAACTCTCCGCTGAAGAAATTCCTTCTGTTAATGCAGGTCAGCACCCGCTCTGCAACTTCAGCATCTTAGGCTGTTACCTAGAGGACAACGAGGCTCTGACTTGCCCAGCATCACACAGCCAGTATGTGTCAGAGGTAGGATTTGAACCCAGTTCTTCCCAACTTGAGGCCAACCCTCTAACCACTAGACCATCCTGCCTCTCACAATGAATTCACACTAAACGGGAACAAATCACACTAGGAACAATCCTGATTTCATTCTGACAACAACATTCTTTACACAACAGACATGACTGTGCTTGTCCATAGCCTTGTTCTGCTCGGCCCTAGAGACCAAGAGCTGGTGGTGATCACTAGACATTGGAGAGAGGCAGATTTCAGCCCCATGGAAGGAAAGGTTTCCTGCCCACTAGAGTTATCCAAGAGTGGAACAAGCTGCCCATCCCTAGACATGATCCCCCTTCATTGGGAGTCTTCATGTGGAGGCCAGTGGGCTGAGGGGAGAGGGAATTTCTGGGGACCTGAGGGTTGGGCTGAGCGACTGAGCACAGAAAGAATGTCACGATGTCAGGGGCAAGGTGGACTGAGCCACACCTGAACTAACTTCGCTCCTCTGATCTCCCCACCAAGTGGTTGGCCTCTGTTTGAAGATGTCCAGTGATGGGGAGCCCACTACCTCCCCCACTCAGCCTCTTCCATGTCTGGACAGCTCTCATGGTTAGGACTTTTTATTTCAAGCCTAAATTGGCTTCTTTGCAACTTCTTCATTCTTCCCATAGGGTCAAGTGGAAGAAGGCCATCCCCACTTCCATAAGACAGTTCAGTCAACATTTAAGTGCCTGCTATGTACTGGGCATTGTGCTAAGTGCTAGAGATAAAAAGAAAGGCAAAAAACCCAGTCTTTGCCTTCAAGGAGCTCCCAGTCCAATGGGGGAGATCACCTATAAACAACTGTGTACAAACAAGACAGAGAGCTGATAAACTGGAGAAAATAAGAGCCCTCCAAGTGTTCAAAGACAGGCTTGTTGGCCACTGCTGACTCTGAGATGCTATGATATACACAAAATCATCCCCAAGGGAGAGAGCCTTAAGAATGCTTCACTTCCAATTTAAAGACAAATCAGGCTCAGATTCCTTAAGAGTCTAGCCAATGGCCAACATGGGGGAGTGTTAGGATCACGCCCATCCTCTATTGGTGTTTTAATAAGCCTTGTCTTTGGTTGGAAGAAAAAAGACAAATCAGAGCAAACACAATATGTGGGAGACAACAACTTAGCTTAAAAAAAACACATTTTGCAAACTATGTCCCAAAGGGAACCATCATCTTGACTCCCAGACTAGACCATCTTCCTGAACCCTGGTCACACAGAGAGTATGTAGCAGCAACAGGATTTGAACCCAGCCCTTTAAGTATACGATTGACATAGGCAATGTCTATATGTCTAAGTTTAAGGAATTGAATGAAACCAACTTTATATTCAGCAGCTGTATTCATATCTTTTATTTGGTCCAAACATGGGATTTCAATAGTGTAGAGAGTTTCCAAGTAAGAAAATTCCTTCTGTCAAGACAGAGCAACTTTTGTTCTATAACTTAAGTCTTGGAATTGCCTAGGGCACAGAGAGGTTAATGACTTGCCCAGAGTCACACAGCTGTGTCACAGACAGGCCTTGAACCCAGGTCTTTTGTGATGCCAGTGTAGGCTCTCTACCCCCTTGGCCAGATAGCCTTTCCTTCAGGTCACTGGCATAAGCACAAAGTCCTTCCACCATCACCATCACCTTGTAATTCTGTAATGAAACTAAAGAATCAGCAGGTGGCGCTCACTCTTCAAACTGGCTAATGCATCTTCAATCCTACAATCTATAAAGTTAATTCTCCACCTTCTGTCTGCTAGAGACTCTTTATCCAAGAGCCTTTCATCTAGAACACTTTATGTCCCTGAGCCTGATGAAATGAATTGAATTCGACCAAGTTATAAAACCCAACTCAAAGGGAGCCCAAAGAGTATCTTTAAAGGTCTATGTACATTCCTGCTACAGTCACTGACCGGTGCTGGCTCTCTCCTCTCTCCTCTCTCCTGTCTCTGTCTCTCTTTCTCCCTCCTTCCCTCCATTTCTCTCTCCTTCTCTTTCTCTCTCTTTCTCTGTCTCTGTCTCTGTCTCTGTCTCTCTTCTCTCTCTCTCTCTCTCTCTCTCTCTCTCTCTCTCTCTCTCTCTCTCTCTCCCTCTGTCTGCCTCCTCTTCTCTCCTCTTCTTCTCCTTCTTCTTCTCCTCCTCTTCCTTCTCCTCCTCCTCCTGCTCTTTCTTTTTATATTTACATCACACACATGTATGCATGTTTATATAAAGGTATATATGCATATATAAGTTTTCATAAAATGGTTTCATAAAATGGTATATATAACATATATCTACAATAGCTTCTCTGGACATATATATGTATAAAACTGGAAGGTTGGCCTACATGGTTTCTTAGGGTCCCTGCCAGCTCTCAAACTGGGAGGTGGGCAGGGGGTCCCAGAACACCATGACCACACTGCTTT